TTAACCTAACCCGTGGCCGCAGCGCTCGACCCCCTAGCCCATCCTAGCCGCAGCGCTCGGCCCAGAAAGTGTCTTAACCTAACCTAACCCTAAATAATGCTAAATAAATACTAATTTGGTCTTGTACAAAATTGATGGGGGGCTGGGGGGACCAAAAACCGTTCACTAGGACAGACCCCAATTTTGTACATGGATCTCAAAAGTAAGACATGTGGCCGCGGCGCTCGGTCTAGAAAGTGTCTTAACCTAACCTAATTAAGAATAATTCAATTGAAAATTGTTGAAAAAGTGGTCATGTACAACATTGATAGGAGGGGGGATGGGGTCCAAAAATCGTTCTCAAGGACGGACCCCTTGTGTGTATATCTTGCGTTTCATGCACCACATCTCTAAAATTCACTTAGTCGTGTGTTTTATAGTTGAAACTATGGTTGTTCAGCAATATTTGTTTCAGATGTTAGCCACGGTTCCCCTCCGATCTGCAAACTGTCTCTCAGTATGTCGGAGGTCGTTAAATACATCAAGTACACAGTCATCGTGGTTTTTCTCAAAAGTAAGTTGATTTTATTGACGTTTGTCCGCCTTAATTTATATGGATTATTGATAAATACATTTATGATAAAGCAAGCATTTTTTTTCGCTTAAATTTAATCCTTTAATAGAAAAGTTAACATCGCCCCCGTGTTTTGGTATCCGAAGCACTGTTTGGTATAATAGCACAACGTAGACGATAAAAAGAAACAGATATTTTGGTAACTTAAGTTTGCTCCTTAGAAAAGGTTCAGTCGATTATAAATCGTTAATTACTCATTATTTAAAGGGACCGTTCACTTATTTGGGTAATTTCATGGTGAATAAATTAGCCTTTTAGCTATTCATCGATTCTTGGTTTCAACTCCTCTCCAGTATGCAGGCATCTGATAAGCTATATGAAAACCAGGCTAGACAGCTCAGTTTTGATGAGTCTGCGTAGAACGAGTTCAACAAGATTCTTCTTATTCCTTATCCTTGTCCTAATCAATTATTTGATCATTAATCAGTCCGTCATTGGAGAAATCCATGGTAAAAAAGTCGCTTAATCGTTTAGAATTCCAATGGACATAGACACTATTTAATCCTTTTCTCAGTAACAACAGCCCAATAAAAGCTAAAATATCATATTACAATGACGCCATGTGTCAGCCATTGCATAATTAAATATAAAAACTTGTGATTTTAGAATTAGTAAGAAATTAACGTTTTCGTGTACAAACATGAATTGACAAATTGATACGTTTACAAAGACAACTTTCTCTCTCAGGCAAACCGGTTACTAGATTCCAATACTAACATAAATCACGGGGATTCCTGGGGGGGGGGGTAATTTCCTAGTACACGATTTTTGGACCCTCCCCCATCCTATCAATTTTGTACATGGGTGTGACAGGAAGTTTCTTAGCTTAACTTAACCCGTGGCCGCAGCGCTCGGCCCCCTAACCCATCCTAGCCGCAGCGCTCGGCCCAGAAAGTGTCTTAACTAACCTAACCCGTGGCCGCAGCGCTCGGCCCCCTAGCCCTTCCTAGCCGCAGCGCTCGGCCCAGAAAGTATCTTAACCTAACCTAACCCTAAATAACAAAAAAAAATAAATAATAAATTTGCTGAAAAATAAATGGTCATGTACAAAATTGATAGGAGGGGGGGGGGGGTCCAAAAATCGTATACTAGGACAGACCCCCTGGGGGAGTAGAGAAAACTTATCAAACCGTTAAATGTTTAAAATAAGTTATATTTTGAAAATAGACAATTTGAAAATAATTTCGAAAAAAAATATCTTCGATTAACTCTAAGATTCTACAATTTAGTTTATTATTTGAGAAAAGCATCAAATAGTATAAATGCAAAGGTATCAAACCTCTGCGCTGGAATTCTGAATGTTAAATTGGCTTTTCTCAGGGCACAGGTGTCAAAGTAATGCCAATACCATTGAATTGCTAAGAGGATTTTTAATATACCCTCAAAACACCCAAATAAGTGAACAGTCCCTGTAAAAGGGTTATTAACTCTTGTTTAAAACCATTAACAAATTTAACGCAATGCTATGCAAACTAAGACGCTCTGCGAAAATCAACCTTTCCCCTGGACACTTGAAATTAAGTGATTTTGGGAATTAAATTAAGTTAGGGAATTAAGTTAGTCTAGAGACCTGACAATTATTTTTCTTACTTAAATATCATTGCTTTTAGGATAAATGTTTAAAATATTTTAATGTTTTTTTACGTTTCTGTAATTGTAGGATAAGGAAAAGACTGCCGGACATTCCTCATTAATCTCCAAGGATAAATCTGTTTATGAGCTAGGAATCAAATAATGTAATTATCTAGCTTAAAAAAAATAATTTTCTTGTAAATCTATAAAAAAACATCTGTTTAATGTTAGCCGTGTCTTTCGTTTTTAAGAAAGATTTAAAAATTGTTTTCTGTTTTCTTTTAATAAATGTTGCATTTTTTATCTTAAAAAAAAAAAAATATTAGTAAAAAAAAGATCCAAAATCGGTCGTTATAACGTGTTCGGTTTTTTTTATCTTTTCAGTTTCGTTATTTTTACTTTCAAGGTAAAAATTTGGCTCAATGTATCAAAAGCAAATGTTAAGAACGAGAAATGAAAGGGTTATAGGCTAACGTCGAAAAATTATCGATGATGATTGCTAATAATCTTACTTCTAGCTGTTGCTAAAATTGTTAAAAACGAAATATCAACTATATACAAATGCATGGAAAAAATTATCGATGATTATAGGTTGTAATATCTGAATGATTTGTTTGGAATTAAATAGAATTATTTACGAATTGCCGTTACTTTCTACGGTATGAGTCGTTTTTAACAATTTTCTCCTTACAGACACAACTGATAGAAGAAAGATCACCATCGATAATTTTTCAACGTAAGCTTTATTTTTCGCAAACACTCCCTTTAATATACATAATACATCACTACCTGTTAATTCCATAGAAAATCAATAATTTAATTTTCTTTTTAATAATATCCGACTTTTTCGTATTTGTAATAAATGAATTGAGTGTTAACCTTTAGAAATGTCTTTTTGATCATGGATACTGTTTTTTTGCTGAATTATTTTCTGTTCTAAGTTTTTCTGTAATGATCATGAGATCTCAAATTACATTGTTTCTCCTTCAGTAACTGAGACAGTTGTTCCCAACCAGTGGGATGCTTATGTTAAACACAAAGAGTTAAATATTCAATCCTTGCTCGCGGTCCAGGATGTGAGGTAGGGTTCAAGATTTTCTTGAGGTATATACGTTAAACCCCCGAGGGATTCAATGGTAAACCCGAAGGCGCAGCCCAAGAGTTTCTTAATAAATTCCTTATTTGAAAAAAAGGTAGAAAACCCCAAATTGCAATTCAGATCTTTATATTCGCTGAGGTTTCATTCTTAACTCTTGATTTTTTTTGTGTATACATTAAATTATTTGAAAGTCGTCTTTGTTTTATTCTGTTATATAGTTATGTTATATCTAGCTTACAAATTTGAATTGTTTTAAGTTTTTTAACGCTTAAAATGATATCTTAACTTTACCCTTACCCGTAATTTATTCGATGATACATGGTTATTTTACTTTAACTTTATTTGATTATACATGGTTACTCAAACAGATTGAGACTGTAACGACGACCCAACACTCGTGAAATATGAAAATTTAAAGCTTAATTTTTGGTATCCACCTTGAATTTAGTGTGATAAGCACAAAAATTTTCCAGTTTTGGCCTTCAAGGATTCCTGAATGTAAGAAAGAAAGTTTTCTCTGAAGTCTCTTCCTTTGTGGATAACACTGTACGGTTCTGTCCCTGAAACAGTTTTTGGGGACACTGCGTTTGTTTATATACCCTCCCAGACTGAACAGACCAATACGCAATTTTCGATTAGTTGTTCCTGTGCATCTTTGGTTATGATCGAATGAACTTTAAAGTTAACTTAAAACTGTTAGAGCTAAGCAGAACTTTTTTAATACTGGGTGTCCAATCCATCATCATTTCGTATCGTTTATGACTCTAAATTTTAATTTTCAGGACTGACAGAAATTCACAAAGACGGAAGCATTTTTTTTTTTTTTTAATGTGTTTGCCTGATATGAAAATTTGCATTCAGAAAACCGAGTATTTCAGTGTTAAATCTTAAAAGATAATCCAATATGATATGGGGCGCTCCCCACCTCAATGTTTCTTGTTCAATCGACCTATTAAATGAAAACTTTAAAATACAGAGACGTCAAAAAATCTTTGAATTTATAGCTTATTAATTGGTTGTTTGCTAGTGTTAAATCTGTGTATGTGGTAGGTGCAATCATGTAGCAAGCTGGAGTGTAGTAACCGGAGATACATTATTCAAAGCAGTTCATCTCTTCAAGTATGATGACGTAGGTTAATCAATACTCTTTTATTCTGGGGTATTTATTTCTCAAAAAAACCTTGGCCCTCCCCCCCCCCCCNATGGGGGGTAGAATAAAAAGCTATCGCGGAAAATTTACTGAATTTTATGTTAAGGGAGCAAAATTTTTTGATATTTTTGTTTTAAGAGCAGCATAGAAAATCTTGTTTCCAATATCTAAGGATTGCTGGTTGGATGTTGTTATAGACGTTAATCTAACACACTTTTATATTAAGGGCTTTGAGGATTTTGATCACACGCGAACCTTGTTAAAAACAAACACACATTATCAAGATGTTTGCAGGCAATAATCCGGAGATATACAATTAGTTGTTCTAAACCTTACATCACATTACTTTTTGTAAGATAATTATATATTAAAGGGACTGTACGCGTTATTTTAAGTGTCCCTACATACAAAGATGAAAATGTCAGAAGTACAAAGTTACTCATAAATGCTTTGTATGATCATTTATGAATTAGATATCCATGTTTTCGTTTCTTTAACCTGAGCCCGCGATTTAAAAACTTCGGCTCGAGCCGTAATTTCTAAAACCCAGCTTTAAGGCCCAACTTCGACGACAGCTTGTGTCACGTGATTGACAGCTGCTAGATCTTCAGCTCGACTTAAGGAGTAAGGCCCAAATGAAAATAAAACCGACCTTGGTTGGTTTTAGTCGAGAGTAAGGCTCAATATTGCGTCTTGTTCTTATAAAAACCCGGAATGTGCCAATTCCTACCATGAAAATCCGCCAAATAGAATATATTAGAATATAGAATTTTTATAACTTAACTCTGGAAAATTAGATGCAGCTTGAATCCGAAAGCTCAAGCCGTAAATAAGGCCCAACGACAGCTTGGACTCGAGTCGTATTTTCACAAATTTTTTAAATCGCGGGATAAGTTTACTTTTTCCGAGTATCTTCCACAGTTTGGATCAGATTAAGGTTCCAAGGGTTCCGTTGTAAATTGGACATTGCCATCTTTGCATGGATGGTTATACAAAATTACGCTTACAGATTTTTCTAGATATTAATTGATTACCTAAATAATTTCCTTAAATTTCATGTTTGTCAAAACAAAATCAACTTTAATCTGGTTATTATTGATACTAAAAGAAAATAATTTTAATGCATTAAAAGCGTTTTGTTAATAAAAACAAAGTAACCCTTGTTTACCTAATTATATATAACACTTTTTCATTAAAAAAAAACTAAACCAATGCCAATTTAAGTTTGATTATTACAGTATGATGGGGGGGGGGGGGGGGGNCGCTTATTACATCGCTTGATATGAGGATTTTTGGAAACTTTTCCCTCTGATTAAAACTATAATTGAGGTCTTTAATTTTGTATCTGATGGAATATTTGTTGATGTAGATCTGGACTTCACACAATTAATAAGAAGCATGCCGAGCTCACTAAGGTTGGTTTATCATGTTTAGTTAAGTTATCTGTTGGCGCCACTTTTCACAAATACGGTGGCATATTGATAGTTTCTCCGGCCTTATTACTTTATTGTGTTGAAATGCTTGAGAAGTAAGCATAAGTGTTTTGATACAGAGCGTCCCATATTATATTGAATTATCTCCAAGCTTTAACGCTCAAATACACACAGAATAATCCTGTATTTTTTGCAGCCAATTTTTATATTAAACTTATTTAATAATATTTATTTTGATATTCTTTAGAACTATCTATGCACGATATAATATGATTTGGGACACGCTGCACAGTATGTCCCATAGATTTTTTATAGGTTTCGTTGGAATATGTTTTGTATGTTAATTGGCATTTTTTTTACTGAAAAACAGTTTTCGGCGCACCCCACTTTAGCTGAAACATGTGATGTTTTTGCCTGTTCAGCTTTGAACATTTTTTACTTGTGCAACGGAGGGTTGGGAGTATGTATAAAAAATTACTCTTGTGATGTTGAATTAAACTTTTAATTTTCTTGTCTGTGCTTATTCCAACTCAGTAAATTTTTGTATTGTCTCTTAAATGTTTTTATAATTATGTTGACTTATGCACAGACAGTTTCTTATCAAGTTTACTCTGCTCTGAATATTTTTACGTAAAAATATAAATAAAATGTTCAGGCTTTCAGCTTCTGGCCCTCTGCTGATAAGAGAGAAGGAAATAATGTTTATGATATCAGGTGAATAGATTAGTTTTTTCCTCCGTAGGGTCTAAGTAATCGGGCACAATGGTGGATGTCCGTATGAAATATGATTTAGATTCACACTTCTTAGCTTAGAAGTTAAAATTCTTAGTCTTAAGTCTTCCTTGATTTTCACTTCATTTCGATACTGGAGTGTGGAATGTGAGCTAGGAGTAAGGAATAGAAGGGAGGTATAACTGACGCGGTTTGCCCTACCATATGGTTATACATGCTTTGCAGACGGGTACTCCATTTGTATAAGAAATATTCAGAATAGGTTATTGTATACGCAGTAAATGTACATCAGACAAATATTTCTTATTCAAATGGAGTACTCGTCTGCAAAGCATGTATAATCATATGGTAAGGTGAACCGCGTCATTTATAGCTCTCTTCTATTCCTTACTCCCTGAATGTGAGAGAATTTTTTTATTATTATTATTTATCCCCCGTACTTTTCTTCCTTGTTGATAAACGTATATTTAAGGCGTGGTGAGGGGAGGGTTAATGCTTTATATGAACTTTGGGAAAAGTAATTTGACATATTTTTGATACTTTCACAAAGAAAATCTTTTTTCTCGTTTATTTACACAGATTCAGCGAAATAAAGAATTTAATTTTTATTTGCGTTTAAAATAAGTCCCTAACCCATCATTTAAGATCGTATGAGTTGAAACCCGGTTCTATGTATGATTGGAGTAACTACTGGGCCCGTGGTATTAAGCATAGATCCGCAGTCAGGTAAACAACCCTGAAAACCAGNCCATGATAAATTTCATTTGGGGTATATTTTTTCAAATCACTTTTGTAGGTTAAAGTTAGTTAATTTTTTTATTATTTACCATGTAACCCTGAAATTTGTGTATCTGGAAGCTAGATTTAATGAATATCAAGACTTAGCTGAACTGCGTAGGTGAACCACTTCGTAACTTAAACCGAAGCACTTAAGAAAGGGTTGATCCGCGCCTATGTTGTGGAATTATTTATCGCTATTCATTAAATCTGTTTTCAGAGGTCGCATCTACTGAAGAAGTTGAACTAGGTCTGCTTGTTCAACTTCACTCTGGACCTTACCAATTATACGAACTCCTTCATAATAATAAAATTTTAATTTGACCTCTGATCAAAGTTTTTTTAGTGATACAAGTCTGCACCTCAAATTTTTTTATCATTTCATTTTACAATTTTTACTCTTCATTGATTCTTTTGATTTTACTGTTTGTCTTCTATAAACAGGCAAGATGTGCCCTATACTGGACTATTTACCCAGCTTGGTAAACTTCATACAATCTACCATATCTGGTGAGCTATAAATAGTTATTAAACGAAACTTTTTTTCATATTATGTTAATGTTTTGTAATCCATTTCATTTTGATACAAATTTGGATCCGTTCTGAAATAAAAAACAATAATTTTAAAATTCTTCTTTTATTCAAAATTTCATACGTTGATGATCTGTATCCGGATCCAATTTTTTCAGCGCAGGTCTAAATCTGCATCAAAATGAAATGGATCCTAAGCACTGACCAGGGTGTAATGCAAAGAAAGTTAATTGCGGTCGTGTATACTCTGCGTACATATTGAAACCAGTTCTCTTTGGGCGGAATTTGTAAATAAGAATAGATGCATCAGTTTTTAGTTTAGTATCCGAGGAGGTTAAAAGCATTAAATTTTGATAATTCACATAATAGTTTCCCATGACCAGAATATTTCATTGATTTTTTTATGTGAAAGATGGATCCCATGTCAGGCTCTGACATCCGTCTTGTGTTTACATTACCGCCCAGAGAAAGTACACTGCAGTACGAAAGATGTGTACACTTCTGAAATAACTTTCCTTGCATTACATCCTTGTGCACTGATAACATTGTAACATCCTTATTATTTATTAATTAATCTTTGATCTATTATACGTAATTAACCATTTAAAGATTAGAGGTCAAAACTATCGGGTTAAATTGCGCTTATTACATCGCTTGATATAGATATTCACTGTTACAACGGATAATGTGCTTGATCTCCTAATTTTAGTTTATCGTCCATATGTTCAGACATCAGAGTCCGAATTTATTGAATTTAAGCCACGTCTCTAATCTGCCAAAAACCGGTTTCAATTGAGCGCCGGCTTAAATATTGAAGAATTGAAGACAATTTTAAGTGAAACCAACCATATTTGAACCGCGGTTCAAATTCTTAAATTTTGGCTTCGGGATATCCAAAAGGGAAAAAATTAATTCAAATGTAACGTCTTGATCTTGGGATTTACTACCCTAAAGTTTTGATCCCTGGATATTTTTCTACAAGTCCTAGTGGTTTGGAAACTTTGTTTTTTAAGATATAAATTCTGATCAAGGGTGTCAAAATATTGCTGTTCCGAGATACGAATTTTGATGTGTAAAACTTAATTACAAAATTTGTTGAGACATGTTAATTGTTAGTAGCAGTGCTTAGGAGCCGGATCCGTTGGATCCCCAAGATTTCGGCTTCCTGGATCCGGATCCGCAAAAATATGCGAAAATAAATTTTACTCCTAAAACCCAAATCTGAACTTTTGAAAAAAGGGAGATTATAAAAATTTCCTTGTTTCTGAAAAAAAAAAAAAAAAATTGATAATTATTTTTTGTTAAAAATTCAGTTAATCTTTAAGAAATTACCTGGATCCGGATCCATTTTTTCTAGTGCGGATCCAGGATCCGGATCCGCATCAAAATTAAATGGATCCTAAGCACTGGAACTTAGTAGACTGATTCCCATGTGACTATGTTAGTAGACTTATTCCTATGATAAATGTTACTGATACCCAGTTCAACTGATAGTACGCTGATTACCATGTAATTGTTGGTTGACTGATTCCCATGTTAATTGATAGACTGATTCGCAGTATAATTAAAAGTAAAATGTTTCTCATGTTAATTGATAGACTGATTCCCATTTTAATTAAGAGTAAAATGATTCTCATGTTAATTGTTAGTAGACTGATTCCTTATTCCCAGGTGTTACAAGAGCTTGGCAGACCGGAAGCAGTGTCGCGAAGGAACCTGGGCTCACCCAGAGTGGAACGATATTGTTGCAAATACAGTTCCTCTTGTGAAAACAATGGAAACTAAAATTGTTGAACCACTCCCCTTCAGTCCAACCCAGTAGATTCGTTTAAAGGGACTGTGCTCGATTTATCAAATGACCTTTTGTTTGTGAAGTGTCGTGTCCGATTTTTTCAGCTACTGTAGCGAATGAAATATTTAAAATTCTAAGGGTACTGTTAGCAATTGGACATGTCAATCTTGATAATGAAAGATCAGTTGGAGTATCCTAAATAGTTCTCAAGTCCGATTTGAAGTTTATGTCAAATCAAACCTTTCCTTTCTACATATATCGATACCGTTCAATGTTGGTTCTTGAATCCATAGTTCGGAATTAATTATGTAAACATATTTACACGTGGTGCCAATGATTTCCTTCAATGCAAGGAAGCATATTTATACTTTTTATGCATCTTTCTTTCTAACTACTGAATATTGTTCACATTTGGTGGCTAGTGTAATTGTAACAGAAACCTCCAGAAACCAGAAGATTTGCATTATTGTTATAAACTAGTGCATTTATTTTGTACTTCAATTTTCACCAATTTAACCAAATTAAACCATAGTTTTCTACTAGAGTTATATTTATCCTAAAGAATAAACCATGAAATATTTTTTGACATTAATTAAACATCTCAAACTAATTAAGTTATCATCTTCATAGTAAATGTATTTTAGAGTTTGCTACGTGTTCTAGTTGGGTGCGCAATTTTATCCAATAATTGTATTAATTCGGATTAATGTTCTTAGGCTTCTTTTGGGCTCTTTTGTATTGACAATTTATCTCAAATGATTTTCAAGTAGCTATTCTTCATTGTACTCCAAGAAACAAAAATTTCGCCGATTTTTTCTGTGATATTTGTGAATTATCTAAATCGTATGTTATTTTTTTCAGGGCAAATTTTTTTTTTCTAGAATTATTTGAGTTGCCAAAAAAAACAATCGGATCGGTTCCACTGGTTTGCCGGTTATTTGAAACCTTAAACAGATCAGCCCAATTAATTTTAAGATGGAAAAAATATCCGATTTGAAATTACCTACAAACCCTACAAAAGAAGATTTATAATTGAAATTTATATTTTATATATACAAGAGCTTTAAAATTAAGTCTTGGTTGAAATATCATCAGTTAGTCTTGGTTAGAATATCGTCCGTCATGGGTACTCCTCTTGTTTTTTTTCTTATTTTGTTGAACATAAGGCTTATTTAATTATATTATGAAAATAATTTCGTTGGCAAGAAAAAGTTTTATCTGAACGCATCATACTAAGAAGAAATGTGTCTTCTTGGGGTAATCCTTTTTGCTCTGTAAAGACGCCTATATTGTAATTTTAAAAACAGAAACGGATAATAGAAGTTGAACTGGTTATCACATAGGTTCAGTTCGGTTTGTACACTCTTTTTCTATTGTAATGACTATTTTGATATGTGAGAAATTGTCGTCTAATAACCTAAAGATCCTTAATTTTTAATTTGAATATTTCACTCAAATGGCCGTGTTATTTTCTCATTTATTTTTTAATATCTTCAGAACTACGACAATAGAACTTATCTAGTAAAATTGTATAGGCCTTGCTAAGCAAACCGTCTGTATCCTCATTCATCCTGTCTCTCATGAAAGAGAGAGGCATGATTCTTGTTTTATACGTTTTAACCTTATTAGAATGAAAAACTTTAAGGGGTTGTAAGCATTTTTTTCAAGTGACCCTCCATGCAAAGATTGCAATGCCTGATTCATAATTGAGTTTTGACAACTTAATCAATTATTTCGAAGATATTGTCGTTTTTCTAGGTGTGAAAGTGTTCTGATAATTCTTCCTTGTAATATAATGTTCAAGGCATTTGTTGTTAAACCACAATGGAAAATATCAAGGTTTCAAAATAATAAACATTCGTCTTATTCAACCTTGATCAGACAATGCTTTTATGGGTATCGTTGGGAATAGGGCATTGACATCTTAAAATGAAGGGTTCTGTGAAATTACACGTTAAAAGTTTTAGGTTTTCTTTCTTGTTCTCTCTGTAGATCCATATTGTTAAATATATACGATGTTTGAAAGGGGTTAATGACGAAAATATGTTTAGCTTTTAAATTACTTTTAATACATGTTATGGTTTCAAGTCGGTTTTAAACGCTTCACTTTAATCTTTCAATATTTTTTTCTGAGTAAAATTTTATTTGTTTTTTTTTTGTGGTAATCCTTGAAGGGTTAGGAATGTTTTTTCAATTCTACTTTCAGTGATTCCCCAAGAGATGATCTCAAGATGAAGGTTGAAAGTCCAACAAATGAAGCCGATGTCACGCTGATAAAAAACTGTTCCAATAAAGTGATAATCTGTGTAGAATTTTCAAAGATTCTCGTCCAGAATCGAGAAAAGTTGAATCATCAACCTGAAAAAAAGATGTGACTGTAAAGACGGGAAAACCTGAAATCAGTGACATGTTTCTCTGCATATTACGATAAAAATCTATGTTATTTATCTGTGTTAATACAGTAAATATGAAGGTATTTAATTCCTTAGTATTGGATTGAGGGAGATATAAATGGATACTGAGGAACGGTAAGGATATAGTTGTATCTTTATTTTCTGACATTTTTGCAATTTATTATCTGTCTCTTAAATTAGTGTTTCTTGTTAAATAGAAAATTTGATCAACTTTATTTGAGGAACGCCTACTGGCATCATTTATAAATATTTCGGAGAAGTATTAAAACTGTTCTTACACGAAATGTCATTTAAAGGGACTGTAAACATAATTTTGTTTGACCCTCCACGAAAAGATGGTAATACCCGATTCGCAACGGTACCCTAGAAACTTTGGTTTGGTCATGTATGGATTAGATATGTTTTTGTTTCTTGAACTGTTATTTTATTTTCGGTTTTCTGCGAAATTTACTTTCGAGTTTCTGGTTTATTGGAGTCAAATAGATTATCAAGTACAATAGGTGGCAACAGAGAAATGGGCCAATGATACACGACGTCACAAGTGTCAAATTTAACAAGGAAAACGAAATTTTATCACATTATTTGTCATGTTTTTCAAGATTAAATAAAAAAGTGTAAAAACAGAAAAAAATTGACCTTTTTCACTAAAAGATAAGCTCCTTATTCTAAAATTATCACTATTATTAATAATTTTGTCGGACACAAAACTGAGGTGACACTTGTGATGTAAGAATACAGCTGTACTGAGAGTGTACAAATACTACGTTGCCATCTATTGTACTTAACAATCTATTTGATTGGAGTCAATGGAGATACGGGTAGAAGTGAACCCTTCTAATTTAGTAGAATGACTTTCTTTTACATTATTGATCATGCAGAATAAGGTTACCGTTGTAGATTGGGTTTTGCCACACTTGCATGAAGGGTCTATAGATATTTTGCTTACAGTCCCTAGTAAAAACTTAAACGATGTAGATTATGTTTGGAGGAGGTCCAGTCAGTTATGAAGGAGACGCACCCTTGTTCATTTTCATGAAATATGCGTCATGTGTCTGTCAATGCCTGTCTTGTTAATTCGTTTTCCGGTGTCTGTACTGTGCTACAGGGGGCGTAATATGTAGCTGTTGTCAAAGGGTAATTGTGGTGTTTAAGAACTTTATTAGGGGTTGCTTTTTAAGAAGTGAAATTTGTTGAAAATTGTGCTGAAGTCTTTTGTGCTTCTTGAACCTCCTTGGGGAAAATTGCTCAATGCTTTTGTTAGTTCTATTTTTTTCGACATGTTTGTGCGTTTTAAGTTTTTCGAAGCGTAATAGAAATATTTTATATTTTATTGATCTGCACGTACATCTCTCGTGTAGGAGTAGAAATTATTGTGTCTTATTCGTCCGATCATTTTGTCTGTTGTGTGTCTGTGTGTTTTTTTAGTTCAGGCTATTTGAGTTCTTGCCATAAACTCCGATTTTCGAATCTCTATATCTTTGCTACCCGATGTCGTGAACCTTTGATATTTCAAACTTAGATTTATGTTAGATCAAATAGTTTGAAATATCATCAAGTTACAAAAATATAGGTATTATGAAAATCGAGTTTGTGTCCGTAATTATTTCCATGCCTGGCGCCTTTCTCAATTCCGGAGCCGTTTTCCAGTCGTTAATCTAGTCGCTGTTAATGTGTCCGTATATTTACCACTGGTTGTGTCTGAAATTTCTTACACTGTTAATGTATTAATGTCACAATGTGTCCGTGCCACCGTGTATATCTTCCAGGGGTGTAAGAGGAAGGGCTACTACTCCGCCCCTCAACTCCTGTTAATGTCCCTATCCGTGTTATTCTCAAAAGCATCTACAGGGGGTGGGGGGGGGGGCCATATCGAGGAGAGCTTCTGTTCCTCCACCCCTAAAATAATTCCTGTATGCGCTCCTGGTTATTCAACGTATAAATCCTTTTTTCTGATATATGTAATTGTAAAAGGTTTAATGTGTAATTGTGTTACATGTATTAATCTGCCTCTTTAATTATGAAATGGATAACTGCCTTTTTTATTCTTAACAAGGAAACTTTTATTTTCTACTTGTTTACTTAACAGCTGTAAACGTTTATCCCAGCAAATAGAATGAAAGCCTTATAAATGCATTTTCTATTGTAGTCTCTACGCGGCGGAATGTTCTTATAGTTTCTACGCTGCAAGTGTTCAATGCTAATCTACGCGGTAGTCCTCGGATATACTTTGCGTATTTAGGGGACTCTACGTTGATGGAATTTTTTATCAATAGTTTCTGCAGGGTGTCTCTCGAAACATAACAGTAAATGGTTTTGAATCTTCTTTACCATATTGTAGATATTTAAGACTTTTTGAAGTTTATTTCGTAAAAAAAAATCGAATCATCATTAAATATATCACTAACTTTAATAAAATTATTTTATATGATATTTTTATCATTACCTTAAATATAAAATAACATATCAAATTATGAGAGAAGGCATTTTAAACTTTAAACCAATTGTCATGGAACACCCTGTATATTATATATGCTGGTAATATACCTTTTCCATGGATCACCTTTGCCCCCAAATACATATTAAAGATTAATGCAATTTTATTTTGCCAAAGATTTTAAGTAATGAGAAATTGAATTTGATAATTTTTGTAAACATTTTTAACCCCCTTATTAATATATCCAGCCTGAATTAAGCAAACCTTCCTTAAAAATCAGTTTTTTTTCTTTTCAATTTCAGCGTTAAAATCTCTAAAAATAACACATCTAACTTATTGGGGGGGGGGGGGGAATATTATTTTAAAAGAGGGGGGAATAATTTTTCAGGAAAATGTGCACCCCTGCATATGTCTCAGGTTTTTGAACCGCCCTGTTGTAAATTCACCTCTTGTCTAACCAGTCTTAAACCTTGATAATTATTTTTTTGGTTTTAATTTAGTCTTTATTGTAGCCAGTTGATGCTTCAAAAAGGATTAATCCTCATCTTTTTTCTCACTAGGCTCTAGGTTTATTCTTGAAGTATAGGGCTAGGAAAAGGTTTGAAAAAAAAAATTACGTGTGTAAAAAATTTCGTGAAAAATGCATTTCAATTAACGAAAATTATCCAGATCTTATTGAGTAAATTCGTGTTTTTAACTGTTTTCATACAAAAGTACTTTTTGACGTAGTGTGCATGAACTATTCTTAAAAATTATATGATTCTTTTTAACTTATTTAAAACTTATTTATTCATTCATTCTTAAAGAGATGTCTACGAAATTTCATTTGTGCTCCCTTACTTAAAGGAAGTAACCAGCTAGGTAACAATTGTGAACCAAGAGTGCATTATTATGGAGAAAAAGTTTAGGTAACAAGGAGAAGATTTTACTGTTTATAATTTCTAAGTAAGAGAGTAAATTTCGCCAGAAGGGATGGTCCGCTGAAAAAAACGTCTTTTTACAAGTAATTTATTAACGAAAATTTATTCTGCACTCCTGTTCAATTATGTTTCCTAGCCAGTCTCTCCCTTTTAAGAGTTACGTTACAAGTGCGGTTCACAACGATATCATAGATATAAAAGTTTTGGCTCAAATCTGGCAGCTTTTTCCACAATTTACTCCTCACATTCAAAGGGAAACCTCAAATAAATTAAGTCAATTTTAAGAGAGAAATTCAAAATATTTAACAATTTTTAGAGGATACTGTTGTGAATCGGACATGAGACTCGTTGAAAAGATAGTTTAGGTCTCAATTATTTATTCATTGGAAAAGAGAATTATTTTATATTATACATATATTAGAATTATACAAGATATTTAGTTATTTATCTGAATCTCATTTTACGAAAGAAAAAATTTAAATGTTTTTAAATCTATTGTTAGGGAAATATTTAGCCCAGGAATGACAGTAAGCTCAACGGATGGTGGACTCGAGAATCTGAACTCAAAGAAGACGCTGCGATATCTCTCGAGACAGAAAAGTAAAGAAAACATTATCTTTAAAATTTATCTATTTTCAGAAATAATGACGAGAATCGACCCAAAACAGTTACTGAGTACGCTCAGTGTCCTACTTGCACCAGATGGAGGCATACGCTCAGTTGAAGAGGTAAATAATTACGCATTTCTGCGTCATATAAACGCATTATACTTTCGGCTTCATCATTAAATATTAAACCCTTCTTATTCACTATTCACTCTAAATATTTTTCCATTTAAACCCATATTTCATATTTAAACCCATATTTTCATTTTGTTTTTTTATCAATTTTGCCGTGCTTCCTCCCTCTTCGTGCCACTCCTAAGAAAAAATATACTTATCTTTTTTTAAACTGACCGAACCAAACCTGGAATATTAAAATCTCGGGAAATTGACAATTTTATAGGAGTCAACTAGCATCATTCATTGTTATCAATATAATAATTTTTGTAATGAAATCTATTAAAGAATGAATTAATTTTACTTTAGGTTCCTCGCATTGTACAGCTGATGCAGAAATTTTCCAAGAAATTGGTTTCTAAATGCATTTATATTCATATACTCAGGTTACATATATTTTATTATTTTTAACCCCCTAAAAACTGTTATACCAGGGTTTCAGGGCGGTTCTTGCAACAAATTCAGTTTAAAATGTTTCTCTTTTAGTCAGCAGTTTTCCTTCGAACAACCTTAAACTAAAGTTTTTGGAGAATATTAGAAAATTAATCCTTTAGCCGGGCCCCACCCCCTTGGGCCCTTATTCGCGATCCTCAGCACGGCGACGACTATTCTTATAAAGTAGTAATCTCTGTTTGTCTCTCTTTTTGTATGTCATCATACAGGCATAAGAACGCTGTATAATCCTTCTAAGCTGGGTCTAAAAGTTCTTAGTTGAATAGGTTGACTCTAGTAAAGATAACTTTGTTTCCAGGCAAAGCTGGGTTTCCGAGGTTCAAGGCTCATCAAATTTTCAATATTTAGATAATAACAAACATCAATATATATATTTTTAGATCTAGTTCTCCTGATTTACTGGAGCAGTTTTTGTCGCTGAAAGGGTGGGATCTTCTTAACTCATGGTAAATATTTTTAAACGAAAATATAACACCCCCCCCTTTCGTGTTTTTTCAATTCAGTTGTAATTTAGAATTACATTTTTTTTAAGTTTTGTCTGCGTGTTACAATGAACGGTACTAAATCTTGATGCTAAATCAAGTTTTATGCATTCATAGATCTTCTTTGCAAAAAAAAATTCTTTAATTTCAAATAATTATAATCATGTGTATTTATTAAGTTTGAAAATATGAGATATGAGTGAAAAAGTCTGATAATTATAGATAGTTTGTTTTTTTACCAATTATAGATATGATATTTATAAAAATATGATTTTACGTGAATAATTATTTAGATAGTTTTGCCATTACTGATGCTTTTAGACTTTTTTAATATTTTTTGTCTTGCAAAAATTCGAACAATTTAGGGACAGCTTAGGAGAATTTAGGGACAGCTTAGGAGAATTTAGGGACAGCTTAGGAGAATTGTGACGTCTTTTTGTATTATTATCCATTATTTGACATAGTTTCGCAAATGTATAGATTTCAGAAGTACAGAGAATTTAAATAATTAAGGGCCAGGACTAGACCTGGCTAAACTACCTGCCGTCATTATGAATTTTAAACACGATTCAATTCCTTCCTTAATCTTTCATTTTTGAATCGTTGGTTCAATTTTTAACCGGCAGTTTTGTAGTTTAGCGACGCAGCTCAAATTCTTAAAATTCGATCTCTAGACGATTTTCTGTTTTTTTTGGAAATGAAAAATAAGATTAATTATTGTTGTGTAGGTTCTGTGAAGCTCTAAAGAATACCAACTATTACCTCTGCGCTGATTTAGTAAATAATATTGTTGTTTAGGTTTTGTGAAGCTCTAAAGAATACCAACTATTACCTTTGCGGGGATTTAGTAAAACTCTTCGCTCTCTGCCCAATGACTGCTAAACGGTTGTCAGAAAATTCAGATAAAAATCAGGTGAAATAATCCCTCCCCAGTGATTCCCCAAGA